ATTCGGGCTTTAGAGTGAGAAAAACAGAATGAGAAAAAAAAACGAACATTTAGTTTTAAATAATATATCCAGTACAATTATATAAAATCGTTTTTTTTTTTTTTATCCGCTTGGAAATCGTGAATAAGAAATGCAAATCCGTGTTGTGAAAATAACGAACCGCGTTAATTTTTACCATCAATTTTTCAAACAGTGAAAATTATGTGTCTGTGCAGCAGACTATATTATAGAGCCCCCGAAACAATGTTTTTCCCCGCCACTGTACAATACGAATTCGCGAATCTTCGAGTCACTATGGAATAAGCCGTGTCCAGATATACGCATACACAGGACCAAAGGGACGGCCGAAAGTCGGTTGTCCGAATTGCACGATTTGAAAAAAAAATAAAAATAAAAACATAATTCCAAAGTTAAGTATATAATGTACCGAACCGAACCGAAAGACACGGTTAGGAAATCGGGAGAAAAACAGAGTGTAAACGCCCCGATTTTTTTATACAGAAATTCTTTTGTTCGTAATAAACGTACCTATAAGTATAACACTATGACCGCAGGCATGCGCGCGGGTGGTACACGGTGTGCAAGTACACCACCTGTGAAATTTCGATATTAGATTATTCGTGTTTTTTTTTTTTTGTATTTTTAAGCCAATGGAGGTAGGGGGAGGGAGTAGTAGAGGAATACATCACATGCGGACAATGTCTGCGCGCGCCCATGACTATGACTTCGGACTATTTCGCGTGCATCGGAAAACGCGATGCAGGTCGATGTCACGTCGGTGCCGACGAATCGATGGACAAAACGCATCTGTACGTAAATCGATTGCCGGCGGTTTAAAAACGAAGGGAAATTAAATAAAAAAAAAAAAAAAAAAAAAAAAAAAACAAAGCGATAGGCAATATCCGCGAAAAAAACAAAAAAAAAAATCGCAATATTTACCAATTTGCTGTCGGTGGCGGGGACGCTGAATGCACCTTGGATCGCGAAGGCGAACACGGCCACGAGGAATACGATTTTGTACATTTTGGACGGGCGACTTGTATAATAATAGTTTAACGGAGGGTTTGTGGGTTTTTCGGATCGTTATTTCGACGGCGGATGTGCTTGGAGTCGGACCGAACGCTAGCAGAGACACTGAACGAATGTCAATCGGTAAACTCTGTTTTACCTTTTAGCCTGAAGACGCGCGATCGGCGCCCGGTATCTTATCTTCTTATCACTCGCGCGATTAACGAGTGACGCTTCGAGTGCCCGGCCATCCGCTGTCGCTGTTATTGCGTTATTATTATTATTATTATTTTTTTTTTCTCTACACGCATTATCGTATTATGATGTACGAAAACAACACTCGTCCCGGAGTAGCGAGGAGTTATAATGTCGTACGAGTGACTCATCGCCACCGATAACGTGTTTCGAGTGGCGCGCGGCGGCGGTGCGGTGTCCTCATTAAAAATAAAAATAAAAAACCGAAAAAACAAAAAAAACGTCGTCTTATTTCCGATCAATCGTATTCCAATGATAATTATCGATTTATCAACATTCGATTACGGTACAGTAGTGTTTCTGTTATTGTCGTAATACTGTAGCCGGGCGATTGCGAGCAGCAACAACCCAATTCCAATAATATTAAATCGGCGTATACTGTGCCGTTGTTGTTATTGCGCAGGGATTTGTGTACAATATTTTATTTGAATACTCTTCGGCCGTCGATGATTGCCGTTTGTCTTACCTCTATATTGATTTCGCACGATTCATTCGACGCCGTAGGCACGTGCGCGCCACAATGAAGGCGGACGACAAATCGCGCCGTTCGATTTTACAAACCGTCCGACGGTTACCATTTTTTAAAATTTTTTTTTATTATTATTATTGATTCTATTTGTTCGGGCGACGACGAAGTAAGTCGGCAATCGAAATACGCGGAGCGATCGCTGATATTATCGATTTAACAAAGGAAAAAAAAAAGAAAAATATATTACGGATGGACGTGATGCGAAACGTTTTCTTACGCACGTTTACATTGCCGTAGCGCGAAAATAACTATAGCAGAGCAAAATAATTCGAATTTCGATTCGTGCGGCAAAATAACGGAACCCAACAAATGTTGAAAGTCGCCGTTCCGACAAACTTTATACGCCGTGCGCTCGGGACGTCGCGTCGACATGAGCAACGGGCGTCTAAAAGCGCGTCCCCTATGCGGCCAGTGTGTGCGTTATAGAATACAGTGCACGGGTATAATAAATTGCAAGTACACCCATTTTTTTTTTTTTTTTTTTTTTTTTTTTTTTTTCTTATTTTTTTCGAACGCAACCGCGACTGTTGAGCAAATTATACGAGCGAATCGTTGTCGGCGACGATTTGTGTACGGTCACGTAAACACCACAACACAAACGCAATAGGCACGCACACGTTTGTACAGGGCGAACCCGCGGGATTTCGCGATTTTCCGTGCGGTCACATGTCGCGGGAAATCGTTAAACCCCGCGGACGATACTGCGCCCTGCGTACCGCGAGTTAAAAGTGACGACGGGGTCGGCTCCGTTGGACATTGGTCGCGGTTTAACGCGGTTTCGTTCGATTATTGCCGTTGCGCAGATTATCGTTTATCGTCGGAACGTATTCGCGCCATCGAGGGAGGGGAACGACGACGACGACGACGACGATGATTGTAATAATAATAATAATAATAATATTTGCGGGTCGTCCGCCGCGCCGTTTACAACCCCCGGGGATTCCGGGGCCGGGCTGTGCGGTTACCGGCGCTGTTCGCCGCGGAGTTTACAGCGCGATTACCATCGGTCTCGCGGCGGTCGTCGCCGGTCCGTTGCACGCGGTTTCGCGCGCTGCGACGGGCTACTGGAACTGCACGGCGCGCACACGGTGATAAGTAACGTTGTTATTATTGGTATTATTGTTATGCGCCCGGCGGTAAATAAATCAAAGGGGACGCGCGCGCACAATTGCGAAAAACAATAACGGCGCGCGCGTATTATAAACGTGACGCGCGGGCAAACGTCGTAATAGCGTTACGACGCACAACAACAGCCGTAACAACGGAATGCGTTGCGGGCAAGGACCCGGACACGGAAACCGTTCTGTTCGTACGGCGCGGCCTTTGCCGTCAAAAGGCCGAACCGGCGCGGCCGGGCGTCGTCACGGCCGCATGAAAATACCATTCCGCGCGTTTCTGTACCTTTCCGCGGTACCGTTCCGCGCGTTCGCCCGAAAGGGTCCGTTTTTACAACGTGCCCGTTAAACCGGCACGATTCCGTACGAAAATCAGTGCGCCGTCGCCGACGCGTACCACAAACGGCTCCCGCAACGTTCGCAAACAAAACGCGCTTACAGTTTTGCATACACCAATTACGTAGGCGCGTAATAGTTTTTCCGGTGACCCCGCGGAACACTATAAGGTCGTACTAAACCACTTAGTTGTATCGTGTAAATAACAAAACACAAATAAAATGCGTATACTATCGAGCGTAATTATAACGTTACTTTATTAGTAATTAGTCATTGCCAAAAATAAAAGAAAGTATGCGCACAGAATTATAAGTATTTATTGGCAACTAACCAATTCGTATAATCTAATCAGTAAAAATACATTTATAGGCGGTTTAATTGGGTATGCGTAAAAAAAAAAAAAAAAGTTCAATTATAAATTGAAACCTTGGTATCGGAAACCAGTCCCTAATGATGAATGCAGCATATTACCCATTTTGAATTGCTCGTGTATTATGTCATCAATATGATTCATTTTTTTTTTTAACGTCATTAATTTGGATAGATTTATTTACATGTTTGTGTACGGGTACTATTTTAATATTTGTTTCAGCCTTCATTTCTCACAGTACTTAAAGAAAAAAATATTTTGGCGATTGGTGGATGTGTTTTTATAAAACTTTTCGTTACAAGGCCGGTGAAACCTTTCTGGCTCATTTGTATTTCTGAAATCCGAATTTAAATTCTGTTTGATATGTTTTGAAATGATATTAAATG